CTAAAAATCCTATGCTCCCTTTTTCTTCGGTTGGTGCGGCATTCAAATTAGTGGAATAGTGGATTTAAAATATTTTTGAAGTGCAGGTAGTGGCCTAGAGCTACAGCGCTAGTTCATTTTCCAAAAATACAAGACTACAACATTGAAATATTCCTGTTTGGCACCTTGGACAGCTGTAGTGTCGTGGCGCTCGAATACCCAACGCCTAGGCGTTCAAATAGTAACATTTTTCATATTATACCAAAATTCACTCCGAACTCTTTGAGACTCGTTCTTGAATACATGCAACCTTTCTTATGCATCAAAACACTCCCAAACACATATAATTGAATTTAAAATATAAAATTTTAAATATTTACTATTTCAAATTGGTTTAACTAGTTTAAACTGTACTCTAACCTTGGAGGTCTCACAACTGTCTCCTCAAAAAAATCTCATCCCTAATATTTCCAAAATTAAAATAAGTCAAAATAAATCTCAATATAGCTATCTTATCTCAAATTTCTTCTCCCTAATAGTCTCTTTGATAGTTATATTTTTATACTACACCTTGATCATAAAAATCTATCTGCTCCTTAATTTTCTCATATCATATGTCATAATCCTATCTGACTCTTCCCTATAATTCATATGCTTGAGCATGCGATGAAACATACTCGTAATGTTTGTCTGTACCTCTCTGTATCATTTCCTCTTATTTTTTATTCAAATTATTATTTTTTTCATGAAATTTACGTCATTACCTTCAGGTTTTTTTTTTGTCATTACCTTCAGGCTTAACATGCCGTCTAAACATTTTAAAAGAAAAACAATCATGAACTCTTTCAAACATTTTACAGATGCATATGTTAACCTCTGTGTAAACCACAGAAAATAGTTATAAAATCATGAACCCCGCATACAAAACTCGTATTGGTAGAGACGCCAAAATCTCCGCGAATCCGGCAAGAAAACTCGCAAGAAATCCTGCATACCTCGTATACGACGACTCAGTTCAGTTCTCCGAGAATCCTGCCCGAAATCCCGCTGAATCGCTGAAATCGGCGCCGCTTCTGTCCAAACCCCGTAAATCCTGCGGCCGTTGTTCAAAACGACGCTGCACCTCGTCGTTAAATAGGAGAGGAAGACACCTCCATTCGGCTGCTCTCCACGCTCGCTCCACTCCCTCACTCCCGATCCCACTCTCTGCTGCCGACCACCCCTCTCTTGCCCGAAGCCATCCCGACCGACCTCCTCCTTCCGTCTCCAACCTCTCGGCCGATCCTCAGAGAGAGAGAGAGAGAGAGAGAGAGAGAGAGAGAGAGAGAGAGAAGAGAGCTCCTTACCTCTTCTCCTAGCCGAATCCCTAAGGTCTCCTTCCCGAGCTCCGTCCGAACTCCTCAAGCCCTAGCCGCACCCTTCAGCTCTTCCGCCTCCCTCCGACGTCGCCCCTTCCTATCGAATTGGAAGTCACGGCATTTTTGATCGGAAGCACTAACAGAAGCTCGCTGGAAGTAAAGGTAACTTTCTCCCTCTCACGCGCTCTGCTTCGGTCGAATCCAGTAAAGCCGCCGAGCAAGAGGGAGAGAGAGAGCATGTGTAGTTTTGATTAAAATTAATATGTATTAATTTTAATCAAAATTAATAATAATTATTAATTGATTTTAATTAGTTTTAATTTAAAAATTATTATTAATTATAATTAATTTTAATTAACTGAAATTATTAAATTAATTATAATTATTTATAATAATTATAATTAATTTTAAGAAATTAATTATAATTA